CACACACACACACACACACTTGTACTTGCAATAATCAAGTGAGAATAACACAGCTGATATTAACCCTTTACTGTGCGTCCATCTGCTAGAAATCTGCAAAAGATAACGGATCAGACGTTTGATTAAAAACATTAAACATAAAAAGATCTATATTTGCTGAAGAGTGGGTTCAGGTGTTGGAGGTAGACGGACGTGTTCGTGACAGAAGTTAAACCTTTGACAAGTTCACATCTGAGGCTTCTTGATTGAGAAATTATGATCAGTGGTTTAGAAATGATGTCGGCAACTCGTGCTCCAGAGTTGTTGTTCTGACTCGAGGCTGCTGCTTTTGAATTGCCTGAAACCAATCTGGTCTTTGCCTCCCTTCCACCTCACCCTCTTTCTCTCTCCCCCTCTCTCCTTCCCCCCAGAGATGAACAAAACCTTCTCGCTTGTGTTGATCAGTGAAAGTTCATCCGTCCATCTTCCCTGGAGACGATCCAAGAGAACAAGCTGAGGAGCGGTGACAAGAGGAGCTGCGTCATTCCTCCACGTCTTCAACAGTGAGTGTGTGTGTGTGTGTGTGTGTGTGTGTGTGTGCGTGTTCGTGTACACTCCACACATTCCTCCTCACTAACCAGATCCCCGGTCCAGACCACCAGAGAGGCCCACCTCACTGCCTGCCGTGTCCCAGGAGAGGTGCTCTGACCAGGGCAAGGGGAGAGGGAAACGGTGTGTGTGTGTGTGTGTGTGTGTGTGTGTGTGTGTGTGTTAGGGTCGGGGGGGGTGTCTGGATCAGAGCTTCCCACTCAGCAGAAAGAATAGAAGAGGAAGGTGAAGAAGAGGGCAGAGCGATACAGGAGAGGAGGAATTGAGGAGGCTAGGGGACGAGAGTAGTGGAGGAAATGAAGGAGAGATCACAGCCCGACTTTTGCCTTTAATACAGAGTTTTGCAACTACGACTCTTAACAACGACAACTGAGTTCCCAGTTCAGGTTCTACACACTGAGTCCAGCTTCACCGACCTTTAAACGAACAGGTGAACAGCAGCAGGTGTTTGTTCGTCGTGGCTCAATTGCTTCAGGTCACTTTTTTACAGTTTCAGAAATGAATCTTCATTCTGAGCAGGTTTCAAAACCAACACTGACGTTTTATTCAGCAAATCCTTCCAACATGACAAAGAAGTAAATCAAGTGACGAAACCCTCGAGCAACAACTTGATCTGTGCGGTGACGATTTCTTCTTCTTCTTCTCCTCCGTGAAGAAATCTGTACAAACCACAACCACTAAAAAAAAACAAAATTCACAAAGTAAATGAAGTGAAAAAAGCTGAGCCGACGCCAGAGAACGGTGGAGTTGATGAAAAATGGAAATCGGAGGGGGGGGGGGAATTCACACATCTTCAGATTCTCTCGTTTACGCTCGGGGATGAGCACGACCGCAGGAATTTCAATGTTGTTTTACATTCTCATCTTTCTCCACATCCTCCAGGTTCTTCTTCTGTTTTTTTTCACTTCTTCTTCTCTCACGTCTGTCCATGTTGCGTCAGGCGGGCCAACCCCGCACTGAACCCTGAGCAGTGTTTCCCATGCATGCAGCGCTACCTGAGGGACGACCCCTGTGTGTGTGTGTGTGAGTGTGAGTGTGTGTGTGAGTGTGTGAGTGTGTGTGTGTGTGTGTGTGTGTGTGTGTGTGTGTGTGGACGCAGCGCCAAAACAGCCGGACTGACCTCGTCTTGTGAAACTGTGAATGAATGGACGGGTGGAAAACAGAGCAGAAGAAGAGAGGATGATAGGCGTCAGGGGTCTGAGAGACTCGTCTGTCACTCTCACACACACACACACACACACACACACACACACACTGGGTCTCCAGACTCAATTGAGCATTAAGAGATAAACCTGCTCTTTCTCTTATCGAGCAGCAAAAAGAAGAAGGGATTCTCTTACAGTGAGGAGACAGCTTTTATCTCCTCACCTCCTCTTTAAGCCCCCCCCCCCCCCCCCCCCTCCCTCGCCCTCCTTCTCCCCTGTCCCCTCCTATCTCGCTCTATCTCTCGCTCTCTTTCTCCCAGCGTTGTCCGCAGCCTCTCTGGTTACTGGTAAAAGGGCGAACGAGAGGACAGGGAGAAAGGAAGGGACGGGAACCATGAGGGAGGACAAAGAGGCCACTTAAAATGCCCGAAAGGAGGCTCTGTGTGGAAGCGTGTTTATCCGCCCCCCCCCCACCCGTCTTCCACCTGCCTTTTTGTTTCCTTCCCATCATGCCCTTCTGTCTCCGACAACACTCATCCTCAGTCCGTCTTCGGCCTTTCAGCGCTTCTCTTGTCACCTCCCGTCTTCGCTTTGTGCTCGTTGGATTTCGTCCTGGAATCTTCCCCGGATTATTTTACAGGTCGAATAACAACACGACGTTTTTATTTAAAGGTGAAAAACGGACTTCAGGGAGACGCGTCCTCTGACGTGTTGACTTCAAGTGAACTGGAGGGAAAAGAGGCTGCGCGGACATTTGATTGACATTTAAAAGCTTAAAGAAAACATTCTTTACATATTCAGGTTTATCAATTTCATTAGCGTCGTTACTTGAAAAAGTTTTCCTGCTCACTTTCCTCATTCTGTCAAATGCTGCAGCTCCTGTTTTCAGCCTCGGTCTGAAATGAAAGAAGCTTTATTTCACTTTTTATTAAAATAAACTGCGTGAAGAGTTTTAGACATGAAAAAGGAATCATGGGTAACCAGGTCTGTCGACGCAGCCAATAGGACGACAGCATGTTCACGGGTTTGTCTGGTTGTTAAGTATGAAGTTTAAATTGAACGTTCGTTAGTGTGAGTGTGTGTGTGTGTGTGTGTGTGAGTGTGTGTGTGTGTGTGTGTGTGTGTGTGTGAGTGTGTGCAGACTTAATGCAGCTAATGTACGTGTGGTTTTGTACCAGTCCATTCATACGTGTTTCGGCGTGTGTGTGTGTGTGTGTGTGTGTGTGTGTGTGTGTGTGTGTGTGTGTGTGTGTGTGTGTGTGTTGTAAAGAATGACAGGGTGAGGGACAGTGAGACGTCCCACAGCAGAACTCGTCCTCTGGAGCGGACACTTCATAAAAATGTTTTGACACCAACAACATCTGTTTGACTGACACCACCTGACCTCCCACAGCTGCTCTCTCTCTCTCTCTCTCTG